CATCCGATTTCAACCAAAATTTCAGAGAATGTTAGTCTAGGCTAGGATAGATTACGGTTAAAATATCTCCCCCAAATCTCAAAGATATGCACAAGTTCTAGTCGATTCATTGGTCAAAAATACTCTTTACGCGGGCAAGGTTTTCAACATGACGATATTATCTAAGCACGTCGGCGTGGATTTTAAATTGTAGAGTATCCTTAGGGCTAGATCCTAATAGAGTCCGATTTTTGAATTTTCCTTCGTTTGTTTTTTAAAAAAACGTTTTTCGAAAAATTCTCGAATTCATGGTCAAAAAAGTCGCTAAACAAAACGAAAGATTCCATTTTTTTTATTTCAGTAGAAGAGAAAGTCAAAAAACTGGGCTCTATTAGGATCTAGCCCCACTTGTCCTTTATACAATAAGAAAAAAATTATGCCTTCTCTATTGAGTCGTTATTAAGAAAGGCGTGCCCGCGTAAACGATATACTCGAAAAAACTGATTTTGAGAAAAACGGAAAATAAGCTTTTAAAAGCCTTGTTTTTTCCAATATGTAGGTTCAGAAAAACTTATGTAATATTCTTAAAGCTCATCATAAAATCAATCAACTATAGTGCATTCGAGAGTAGACATTTTGCTCTATCTAATGGGTTATAAATCATAAAATCGAAAAATTTGACCAAAATTGATTTTTTGGAGAGGGGGGGAGGGGTCCTTAAGCAAAATTTCTATATAGCATTGAAGATGATTATCTATCTCATTTGAAAGTTATTGATGATTTTTTTTCATCTTTGTTTTTTTTCGAATCGAATCAAGTTACTTAATAGTTACTTTACATAATTAGGTTAATTTGTACAAAAAATCATTCCATCTAAAGAATAAAAATTTTGCGATCTTAATAAATTGATATCTGATATGTGTTGATCATTCACGTGTATCATAAATTGTTATGATGTAAATAGTAGATCATAAATAAAACAATGTATACAATGATAATCAGGTTTATTAAACTACGTTGGAAATAATTGTTTCAGTGAGTCAATTGTTTTTGTATGTCATACAAACAGTTTAGGTATTTCATCTATACTATAATGACCATGTTCAGCAATATATTATACTAAATCAATACTTTCGTTTTGAGGAATTACTTTCGGATATGTTTAGTTTTGAAAGAGAAGATTAAATGACTGTCATTTGACAAGAACAACAAGGTAAACGACAAGGTATTGGCACTGTTTAATTTCTCGATGTAAATGAATCCTGTAATATACTAACGGTGCTCCAACAGTAATGACTGTATCGCTATACTACATTACAGAAGGACTCAAGGGAGTTTTTATAAGTATACTATACTAATAGTCTAAGCGATGCCTGATAATGCTAAAATGTTTCACCATACTTTATTTACTATGATGTTAAAGTTTCGATCATAGCTGTTTAACTCCGATTTTGTTGCATTAAGAAGACTTTCGCTTCTGTATTTATGGCCGTACTGCGCTATATTTATTTTCGGAAGTCAGGCTCCAGCTCAATCCGAAAAACTCAAATAGATTTATTGCCTTATATTCGTGTCTTTTGGCCTTTCTTCTTAACAGATCTTGTGATACTTTTTATATTCTGAATATTTCAGTTAAACAGATGAATTTTTCTTAGGATATGAGATACCTAAAAACTAAACTATTTTGAAAGCTTTTCTGAGAAATTCATGTTTCTTACAAATGTATTATCTCAGAAGGCAGGCATCCATTAAAGCTAAAGCTCTCAAGCTGTAACTAGTATCATCGAATTTGTTATTAGGGGAAATTTCAGATGAACACTCTTCATTACGTTTTTCTTCAGAATATCCTAAAAATTCAATAAAACGACCAAAAACTCGAAAAGAAACATCTAATGGTGCAAACCATTCTAAGGTTTTCATCTAAAATATGAGTCTTAATCATAAGCCCAAACAGAGAAAGAGATGTGAAATTTCATCTAACTCATTCAAGTCTAATATTTATTAAATAAATGCTAGTCGAACTACAATTAAATGAGCAAAAGAAAAAAAAAGTGAAACTCTATAAGTTTATTTAACTACACATTTTATGACAAGATTGCTTATTCTTGGCAACTGTCATAGTAATGCGAAGAAGTTGTTGATAATTTGCTTCTTCTTCAATATTCGAATTAGGATATCTTTGAGTATAGACAAGATCACCACATCTAAATATAAAATATTTATTTATTTTAATTTATCTTACATAATAATAAAATTCTCTAACTTTCCAAATATCAGATTATTTAATCTTTGTCCATGAAGGCCTAATTTTTCTATGAATCGATCTTTGTGATTATCTTGAAAAAGTCGAATTTTACCATAATAAATACCAGGTAAATACTGTGCTCCATGTTGTTCATTAACAAGAACAAGACGTGCATCTGCTTCACGTATGTTATGATGTGCAAGATCACGATACAAATCATTATATCTATTTCATTGAAAATAATATAAAAAATAATGGGTGTCTAATAAATTTTGATTCCCTTCAAGTAATTGCAAGTCAATCAATCTTGCGCTTGGATTTGTAAGTTTTCGACCGACAAAAAAAAATCAAGAAAATATTAGGAATTTGGAAGCATACATTTACTGATCGAATTTTTCAGGCTCTAGTCATTTTTCCTATAATTTCGCTATCTCGTCAAACGATTAAAAACTTTTCTATTACTTACAAATACTCAACAAAGGAACATTATCTTGGTCGAAAAGCGATTTAATGTCTGAAGATGTTCCCTTGTAAATTCTATAACCTTTTTATAATATGTATCATTCTAGTTTCAATTATGTACTGGATTTATTTTCATCAAGATAGTGTAAGGACAAATGTTTTCAGAGAAGAAACATTAGATTTATCGACATATTTTTGAATATATCAGTACTATTGCATATAATCAGAAAAAAATGTAATTATAATAGAAAAACAACGCATTATCAAGCATACAACAAAGAGATAAAAAGATGTCGGTGACAATGCGTGAAGAGATGGTCTACAGCCATACTCTTGTCAAATTATGAGATTTTGGCATCATCCTATATTTCAAGTTATACTTAGGAAAGTAATATTACATTACAGACAGATCAACAACTCTGACCTGGCTTCGTTCAATATCATATATAGACAGTGCAAGCCAGGCTAACAGCTCTGTTAGAGATTTTAAATAAAAAAACATAGTGATTCGAACGGAATTTTCAATTGTAAATTTATTAAATATAACAAGAAAAAAGATAAACATTTTCTATTCTTCTACTACTTGATTCCCCAATTCAGATTCATTTTCATATCTCTTTAGGTTTATCACACTCGTCAAATAAAAATTCAATATTATTTATAACAACTATTGTTTGATGTTTGCTATCCTAACTATCTTCAAAAACCCATATCGAGTTAGTGTGTTAATAAAATGGCAAATAATAGAACACAAAAACCTAAAAGTTATTTGATATGAGAGGTTGCTTGAATAACTAAACTTTTTTCAAACGTACTATTCGCAAAAAATAATTCATAAAAACACCCAAGAGTTTTATGTTATTTGTATTTTTGTGACTATAAAAGATATAAAACTCAAATACTAGTGTAGATTATATCTAGATAATATTAGTCTATTCCACTAAAGAAAAACCAAGTAAGAGAAGTATGTTACTTGAAAAGAATCAAAACTCATTAGACACGCTTTATATATTCAATCATACTTAATGGCTTGATTTCGACAAGCTTGACAACCAAGGTGAGTAACACCTATAACAAGTACTTGTTTACGATAATTTGTAATTAAATTCGTTCCATTTATCATTAACTTTTGTGAACATAGTTTTTCATTCATAGGAAATGCACCTATTGAAACAATGAATAAGACAACGATAGCAAGAATCTCCTGTCGATACATATTTCCAAGCTTGAAATGATCTGTACAACTATCGCAGAATATCCATCAACTCATATCTTGATGACAGCTGACATTTTTCTTCATTATAAACAAAAGGCATTGTATACATAATACTTTTAGTATATTGTCTTGACATAGATAGCACATGCTAGCTACAACATTAACCTTTTTACAGTGTATTAAAAGAAGGAGAGACGAACAGAATGAGGACGATGGTCAATGGTATATTGATTGCTCTATGTGTAATAGAATATGAGAGAAAAAAAAATGAAAGCAACGATAATGATACATGATATAGACGCTTCCATCGGTCAGTCATCGAGAGAAGTAGGGCGTCAATTGAATTTCCTTTCTGTCTTCTTCTCACTCTCAGTCTATTTGTCACACATCATCATTTTGCCTTTTTTGTTTCTTATTTATAAAGACACAACCATATGGAGCTCTTTCGCACATGTACATATTAAAAATATAATCAAAGTCATCGTCATCATCATCACCAACCTTCTTGCCATTATCAACAATGTCCATACATCGCTTAATGTAACTACCCTCAAGCTAGTTCAATTTGTGAGTGGCAAAAAAGATGAAAGGGAAAGAATACATATATAGCCACTCCCTAGTTACCAGCACCCTATCATTACTAATTCGTCTCGACTATTCAAGGATGTTTTAGAAATATACGTTTTAGTCAGTTTGACTGATATGATAAAATTGAGCTGTTTTCTCTTCTCTAATCCTTAAAAAACCACTCATTTTATCGAATCATTAACTTTTTCATTCTATGAGATCAATATTATTATATGTTTGGCAAGAAGAAATTTTTTGTAAAAATTATATAAAAATTTACAATAAATAAAAAAAAAAACTTGAGGTATAATCACTAAAAAGTTAAAGTTAAATTTTCCTTTTAGCTATAATACTAATGTAAAATGATCAACCAATGAAATTATTGATATTAATTTGTTTTAAAGAATAGATTGATTATAACCTCGAGTCATTAAGGCCAAACGGGAAATACCCGATGACCTTTATTTTTTTTCGTTCAATCATCAATTGGTTAATTGGTCTGGGGCCTTATCATCATTGTCAATAGAACTACTAGTAATATAGAACTAGTCACGCACTTTATTCTTGTTCAAGTTTTTCTATCTTTTTTTTTTTTACATAGAACAAAACAGTTCGCTTTTAAGCGAGTCAATTACATACACCCACACATTATTTGTCCTCATTTTGCTCATATAATTGAAGTTTTTCGAGACATGATAATAGTTATTATGATAAACCCTTGGAAGTTTCTTTTTATCCCATCTCATTGTGTAATATTACTATCATACATATACATAGGGATGTTTTGTTCTAATTTTTTTCCCATAGTTTAGCTAGTCTATTATATACTTAAATATATACTTCCGTTTTGTTTTGTTTTTTGATACAATAAGAAATAATTATCATGGGAATGATGCATCCGTTTGGTTGTCTGTCGATTAACTCTATTGTGCAATGACATCTAACCAAGGTTAGTGTATGTAGTCACAAGCGATGCCTATATATTGCGTTATCTTTTAACTCTCATAGACAAATATTGTATTTCTCAAGAGAATTGTTCATCGATTAATGGGGGTGAATCAAGGCTAACTAACCAGGAGAAAAGAAACATAAATGTTGATATATGACACGCCCTAGTCTTCTCATTCGCTCTAGCTTCCTTCATTTAGTTTCTTTTGTATGTAGTGTGCCAGGAAGCAATGATGATTAATCACTTTGATAGCATGCGGTATTTGTGTCTTACGCAACGATTTCATTCCCGTTCTTTTCTTATCTTTTTTCTTTCTCGCTTTCCCTTTTTTTTTTTTGTATATGAATAAAAAAATCTTCCTTTTTTACGAGCATCCGTTTTCTTCTTCTTATCGTTCAGAGCTTGCCGGCAATGACATGAGCCAGAGTAAGTGAACGTTTCGGTGCCACAGACGCATATATATATATATTGAACATTTCTCTTCGCAATTTACATAGACGAGCGGCTGTCGTACACATTCAAGTAAGTCTATACTATACTTGATACGATTAAAAAGTTGATCACTTAGGTACACATATGTCAAGCTAGTAAAAGTTAAAAAATGTATACAATCAGAATTCACAACAATATTTTTTTTTTTGCTTTTGAATTATCAAAAAAAAAATCATTTTTTTATGGTTTGATGTCAAAACGGAAATTAATTTTTATTTGACATATAAACATATGATAATAACATATGTGTGCTCTATATATATATCACTAACAAAATTCAGTCGTTTATTTTTCTATTCACTAAATCGAATTGGTATTCTGTTTGTTTGTGTTATAAGAACATGAGCAGCTGTAGAAGGAGAAATCATTTTAAGATAAATGGCAATGATGATGATGATGATGATGATAATGATTACTGTTTCTTTTTTTTTATGATAACCTTCGATGTATCTGATATCATTAGGTGTAAACAACGTTTATGTATATTGCATAAAACTTCAATAAGATTATCATATTGATAATACTTGATCATTATGTGACATAAATATACATACATTCATTAAGATCATTTACATAAATTCGTATAAGAAACTTATGTATGATGACATCATCGTAGATAAGTTTTGATATTTTCTATTTCATTGCACTATGATTAGGATTCTTTAATGTTGCATGACAAATATACATCGATCGAAATAGTTATATTTGCTTTGAATACGTAATCAGAATATACGTTTATATATATAAGTTGATAAGCATAATTACATATATATATATACAATCTTTCACACTCCTTAAAACTTGTTCTTTTTTAACCTTCAATATGAATAAAAGAAGACATTTGAGTATGAGATAGAATAATTATGATAGTAGAGCAAGAAAAAAGAAATCAGAACAAATAAGTTCATTGCATTGAATTTCAAAGTTTAATCTATATAAAACGAAACTATTAGTGATTGTCTCTTCGTTTTTTTCTTTTTCTTTGGATTTATTCACAATCCTATTTAAAATCATAATAGACAGTTTTGTCATCAAGTTAAAATGGCAATAGTAGCTTAGCACGTTTATTCTCTCTGTTAGTAATCTTTCTTTTTTTTCTCACTGTCTCATTCGACCATCATTCACTAATTATTTATTAGTCACATGTGCACAGTTGCAGATCGTTTACTACTGCTGTTGCCGCCGTCCCATAAATCATATTGTCACTCAATAGAAACTGGTCAACCACCGCCTGTTCGTCATTTCCTTTTTTTCTTTGTTGTAGAAGGTAAAACAGCAATCAAGCTAATGATTTTGTTTGTAAGTAGTGTATATATACAGTATATATGTTCACCTTCTTGTGTCTAATTATTTCTTCTCTTCAATTGACTGAATTCTAAACAGTAACAACATATGGTCTTAGTTGCCCATGGTCAAATTTTGTATAATCTCATTAAGAAAATCCTTGTTATTACAACATTGGACATTTTTTTGTTACTATTGTTTCATGTTCATTATGACATTGTGCGTCATAGATATGTATATATATATATACTTTCTCTGACAATTCATTTGAAAGTTCCAAATTGATGAACAACAACTGCGCGTGTAAGTTTTCTTTCTTATTTTATTCAACAAACGTATGTATGCGTGTGTGTGTGTGTGTATGTGTGTGCATTCAATGCAACTAATTAGGTCGTGCGCCGACAAGTGATTGAAAGTATGTATAATTATTTGGACAAAAAAAGAAATCTTCCGCACTAATACTTTTCGTGGTAAGGTACCGACTTTTTTCTTTACAACTACAGCATTAAAAAAAAAAGAACCACTTAAATTGTTCATTAAACTATGGTTTAGTGTTTGGCAAGTGTCATTTACATACATCACGTTGTGATTGTATACGTGTCGAATCGAAAAATGTTAATTGCAAATAAGATGGACAGACAATGACACCGGCTAGATGTCCGTGACTGTAGTTCACGTAGTTTGTTGTCAGTCGTCTCTATCTTTCTCTTCTCAAATGATTGTGCAATGTCTCTTTCTCCTTTTTTTTTTCTTTGTTGACAAACGCATCGAGTTAGATGAGACGAGTGTGCGAGACAAACATCATCAATACATCGTCCATTCACATTAGTCTTTTCATCATTGTTGTCTGCAACAGAATGAGTAATAGGCATCAGCAACCAGATGTTGGTCGGCATTCCATCTGTCTTCATTGTCGGGCAATACATATCGTAGCGGCATCAGTCGCTGTATATATTAACAATTAATAATAGTTTTTCTTTCTTTCACTCATTCAATGGACATCGGCCATTCATCTTTACTTCTTATGTCATAACAAATTCTACAATACTGTGAGATGAGAAACAAATTTATAGTTAGCATGTTAAACATCCGCTTATATCATTAATTTTTTTTCTTAAATAAAATTATTTGTCCACGATATATATATATATCTATATTGACTTTAGATCAATGATTAGTATTATTTCCTAACATAGATTTAATAATGATTCAATATCTCGTCTTGTTTCTCCTTCTTCGTAAGTATACAAAAAATTCCAAGTTTTCATTTAACACTAATATATATATATATGTGTGTGTGTGTCTATGTTAGGTTTATGTCAATGTAAAAATAGTCCTCCAATACTTATAGAACAACCACAAGATATGATTGCAGAATTAGATAAACCCATGGCTATACATTGTCGAACAGAATCATCATCATTAGATGATCTTCATATAGATTGGTATAAAGATGGTCGATTAGTAACAACTGATCCAAATGCACGTATTATTACAGAATTTATGGCATTACATATTATTAATACAATGCCACAAGATGCAGGTATATATTATTGTATAGCAAAAAATTCTTATGGACAAACACAAAGTCGAAAAGCACGCATACAATTTTTAAGTATGTTTAAATTTTATTAATAATAATAAAAAAAAGTACTTTCACGAAGAATTTTATTTTTTTTTTATGTTTAGAACTTGATAAAGAATTTCTTGTTTCACCAATATCAACAAGTGCTTCACTTGGTGAACGTATTCGTTTAAGTTGTCAACCACCATATGGTTCACCAAATCCAATAGTCTATTGGATAAAAGATGGAAAAAATCTTTCAGTTCCACTCGATCATTATGATCTTATATTACCATCAATACAAAAATCTGATTTTGGTTCATATCGTTGTATAGCATCAAATGGTCTTATACGTCAATCATCTATAGCTTATTTAACTGAATTTCATCGACCAAAACTAACTATACAACCATCATCATCACGAATTGATTTACATCGTGGACAATCAATTGATTTACAATGTCATATTAATAATGATCAATATGATATTGAATGGCATTTTAATAATAAAATAATTCGAAATAATCATATACATATATCATCAATTGAATTTAATCAAAGTGGTATATATACATGTATTGGTCGTTTTGAAAAATATAAATTTAGTGAACAAATTTTACTTGCTGTATATGATAATGAAATATTAAATAATGAAGAAATATTTTTTAGTCAAACAATTTTAACAGTTACTCTTGGACGATTAGCATTGATTGAATGTCAACTTCCATTTCATGTTGAAAATAAAATATCATGGATAATTGTTAATCATTCAGAAGTTAATAATATAAAATTTGAATATGAAGATAAAAATCAATATCGTTTAAAAATAAATCGTATTAAAGAATATTATCATAATATTTTATTTAAATGTTATTATCAAAATAAAAATATACGTAGTCAAGGTTTTATTAAATTAAATGTTGAACAAATTGAATCACCACCAATTATTTCTTATATACCAAATAATCAAACAGTACCAATTGGTGTTGAAGTTATATTTTCATGTCAACCGAAAGATGATATTAATATTCAATGGTGGTTTATACCTTATAATCGTCCGTATAAAATAATTAAAATTAGTGATAATAGTCAAAAATATCGAATTGAATCAAATCATGATTTAATTATTCAACATGCAGAAAAGTGAGTTAAAATGTTCCAAAACTATTCTCGAATGAAGTTTATTAAATTTAACTCTTGAAATCCTTAGCAGAGATACTCATACTGCGATTATTCTTTGTATGGAAAATTGTCTTAATGATAATTTCTAAAGAATGTTGAGAGCATGAGTCATAAATCTATAACACTGCTCAAAACCACTAGTTTTTGATTACTCCATTTGGAAGAAAATAAAAGTCTTGATACATACAGAAAAATTTGCTTTTAGCTTTTCTCGAAGTCAATTTTTAGACAGAAAAGTACAAAGTCCTTTCCATTTCTCCGATATAATACGTTTGATCGAGCTGAAATTATTTTTTACAGGTACTAGTTACTGTTTTTCTGTGTTGAAAAATATTGCATCGTTGACTTCCGGCAGATTTTACAACGAAATCTCTGGTAAAAAAGAAACAAGTATTTTAGGAGCTACATCCAGTGTTTGGGTTATTTTTATTCGAATGAAAAGAGATAAAAAGAAACCAAAAATATTAAGCACCAAAAATAGTGTTTAGTATTCATAAAAAATAATTCTAGTTCTATCGAACATATCACGACTGAGAAAGCAAGGCAATTTTTACTCTTTGCCACCTAGATATTTCCGAGAAGGAACTGTTTAGGGATTTGAAGTCTATGATAACTTTTAGAAGAATCTTCTCAACCCATATCGCATTAATGCCTGGTTTGAATCTCCTGGGAAATAATAAGTTAATTAAATGTAAGGTTAAAAAGTGTGATTTTATACGTTTCTCAGTATCCCCAATGGATTTAGTATAGTTAGGTATAGCGCATAATGAATGGCGGCTTTTTTGAAGTTTCTCTATGTATTACTTAGTTAAGTTTCATTCTAAAATAAAATACATTGCAAGGTACAATATGAAAAGCTTTACAATTTACAATAAAAATCTTTTTTTCTTTATATAATTTTTGATGCTGTATTTTATGGTATATTTTATTTTTAAACTAAATGTACTGAGAGATAAAAAGAAGAAATTCGAAGATCGCCTATTTATTACTAAATGAAAGCATTCCTATAGAAATACATTCAATCGCATCCTATGATAATCGTATTCTGTTACTATTGTATGTAATTTTTACCAAATGAACATTTCTATTATTGGTAATAATCTAATGAAATATCGGAATTCAATTGAAATATTTGTGATTAATGAGAGTATTATTTTGTATAAATCTCTACTATTGATAATATGACTTTTACATTCAAAGAGGGATCAGTAGTAAAAATACTCAAGGATATCATCATGTATGACTATGAAGGTTACCTGTAAAAACTGCAAAAGTCAAGGACGCCACCAAAGCTGCAAATACGATAGAGTTTGAAACAAACATCATATGAACATCTATTCTAGGCTACGCTTTTTATTTTCTATTGGTATATAGCCATTTTTCATTGACACGGACACGCTATAGTTACTTTGGTTTTTTTTTTTAGTTATACCAAATATTTTATAAATAAATATCAATATAGCTATCCTTTTACTGTTACAACCAAGGTAACCATGAGGTTCTATAGACGCTCGTTGGTACTTGTGGAGTGTTCGTAGGTGTCCATCTATTGATTGTGGCTATGAATGTTAAATAGTAGTACATAACAACAGATTTGTTTTCCTTTTCTGTTTCGATTCTCATCCATTAATTATTGTTTTTATATGATGAATGTACTTAAATAATCGTTTAGAAATGATGCTGGTTTATACAAATGTGTATCAATTAATAATAATTATGATGAAACTATATGGCTTGGTCATTTACATGTTGAAGATGCTCGTTCAAATGCAATATTTCATCGTGTTGAACGTAAAGATCTTCCACAAGCACCATCACAACCAATAGCTATAGATATAACTAGCAATTCAATAGAATTAGTTTGGGATATGGAATCAATAGATATTCTTGATTATCTTATAGAATATTATGATATTAATTCTGATAGGAATAATCTTGAATGGAAACGTATTTTAACAAAAACAAAAAATTCTCAACAAATTATAAATAATTTAAAATCTGATTCAATTTATCAATTTATGATACGTGCAAGAAATTCATTTGGTTATGGTCCATCATCTATATTATCTGATTTAATTGAAACAAAAACTAATCAACAATTAAATGATGATGAACTTATCTATTTATATGATCCAATTAATATTCAAGAAACAAGTATAACAATTAAATGGAATATTTTACAAAAAAATTCTTTAATTAATGAAATTTTTATTTATATAATTAATAAAAAAGAAACAAATGAACGTATTGAAACAATAACAAATTCTATAACAACATATACAATAAATAATCTTCAACCAAATACAGATTATTCAATTTATTTAGTACCTATGTTTGATATAATAGGTCGTTCAAGTAATACAATATCATTTCGAACATTAGAAAGTATTCCATCATCATCACCAACAAATATTATTGTTCAATTAATATCAACAACAACACTTTCTATTCGATGGAATTCACCATTAGAAAATGAAACTAATGGTCAAATTATTGCTTATAAAGTTAATTGTTTAGGTACAAATGAAACAAATTCCATACGTTTAACAAATATAAGTTCAGATGCAAAAGGATTATATATTAAAAATCTTATTGAAAATATGGAATATTGTATAAGTATTGCAGCACGTACACGTATTGGTTATGGTCCTTATTCACAACCAATATGTATAATAATGAGTAAGAATTATTATTTAATATGAAATTTTTCATTTTTTTTTTGTTGTAAAATATTTTCATTTTTATAGATGCTAAACTTTTACAAATAAATCAAAATCAATTAAAATATCGTTTACGTGAGGCTATATCTCAACCTTGGTTCGTTCGTTATGTCTTTTTTTTGTTTTTCTTTACTTTTATTTAATCTTTCTATCCTTTAAAAATACGTAGGTTTTTACCAGTAATTATTTTATCAAGCATTATATTTATATGTGCTTGTGCTTATGTTATATGGTTATGTTTTCATTATATAACTCAACAACATCGACATCGTATAAAATTTAATAGTTCAGCATCATCATCATCAAACCAATCTGTTGAATTACCTGTTCATAAAACATTAAGTAATGGAAAACGTTATGATTTAATAAAAGATACTTCAACACCATTACCATCATCATCAACAGCTTTATGGATGAATTCAATACCAAATGGTATTCGTCTTCAATGTTGTTCAACAGCATCAGCTAGTAGTAACAGTGAACATTATTCAATGAGTATACATAAAAATCCAATTAATGCACTTTTACATGAATGTCGACAACAACAACAACTTAATCCATATGCAACAACAGGAATATTTCAACAATCAACATCCTCGGTTTCACCAAATTATGTAAGTTAAATGTGTATAATTAATCATTTAAAACATGAGAATATCAATTGAATGAGTCTTTATAAGATTGTACAGACCAAGTATATTCTGTTTTTCTTATTTTAGTATTCTAATTATTAAGTTAACTGGCAAATAAAATCTGTTTGACATGTCCATTATATCTCTATAAAAAATCTCATTTTTATCTTCGCAAATATCAATAACGTATTTCGGTCATTGAAATTTCGAGGAAGACTTTGAAATGCTAAAAAACAGTCTAACGAGGAATGTTCTCCAACGATTCAATTATCCATAGAGTCGAAACTATGTAAATTATGTAGATCCAAATGAGCTATAAAGACCCTAAACATAATCCCGATTCAAAAACGGTTGAACAATTGAAGGATTTCCCTTGGGAGTCTTCCGTTCGAGACTACTATGGAAACGTAACTAAAAACTGTTTTCAAAAAAATTTACTGTAAATTTCACAAAATACAAGAATTTTATTAGTTTGTAATTGAATTGTTTTATTTCAAATAGTCATAATATAGATTATTTTTACTTTTTAACATTTTTTCTTTTACTAGTCAAAAACAGTTCATTCACCACCAGCATCACATCATCTGTTATCCGATTCACAACAACAGATAACATCATCAGCATCACCTACAGTACAATATCAACCACCATGGCTTGATCATCATCCATCGTCAACATTACAATATCATTCACAATCTCGTACATCATTTAATCAATATCATTGTATACATTGTACATCTCAATCTCATCCTCAAACACCATCATCAATACGTCCAACAATACAATCTCCTGCATCTCATCATCATCAAAATAATAGTCTAATTATAAAGAGTTCAATTTTAAATACAAATGATATAAATAAAACAACTATGGATAGTTTACAACAAATAACAATGAACAGTTCTCCATTGTAAGTCAATTTTCATTAGTGTTATAATTAATAATAAGAAATTTAATACGAATTTTGCTCATAAAAATTTCATAGATAATCTTCGAAAATTTTTATGACATTTAGACATCATTTTTTCATTTCTTTTACATTTGTAACACATATCTGAAATATATTGTAATCGATTTTACATTAATCATATATAAATATTATAAAAGAATTCTTATACACGTAAATTATGACTTTTGAGAAGAAGAACTGGATTACTCTACGTAAATCTAAATTAATTTCATAGTATATCAATGCTATTTGAATTTATCTGACATTGTATTGAAATATTTCATTATTATTTTTAAAGAGTAAAACATACATCAGATTACATTTCACAAGTTCAACCATCGAATCTAACGATGATTAATTCATTAGGTGACGGTTAGTGTTCAATATTTTGACTTCTAAAACAAGATAAATAGTTTACTTGTTTTTTTTCTAATATTAGAAACAATGACAACATCATGGATAAGTTCAATGGATGATAATAATCATGAAAATGTTTCTTCATCATCAACTGATAAATATAAACATGAAAAATCGATTTCTAAACAGAATCATTCAAGTAGTGAAGGTTCAATATTTTCTGATTCGGATATTCAACAACAAGACGAAACTAATGGATCAACATTAATTAATTTTGAACGTGGACCAAGTTTTCTCATACCAAATGTATAACTAAACCCTTTGTTTGTTTGTTTGTTTTTTTTGCTTCTCAAATCTAGTCATTACATGTATGATTAATCTTCATCAGTAGTTTATTATTATCATTATTTTTTTTTTGTTTTATTTACTTCTAGCTGTCGTTCAGATGATTTTATTTGTTGTTGTTGTTGCTGTTGTACAAAATAAGTGACATTTTCAGGGATTTTGCATATAATTATAACAATAAAAAACACGATAAACTTTAATTAAAGATTATTGAATATGGTTTTGTAAACAAAATTTTAATAGATGAATATATTGATTTCGAGAATAAATGACAACATGTATCTCTAAGTTCTCTGCAAAAAAAATATATATGAAAATTTTTTTTTTTTTGACTTGTTCTAATGAAGTTTTAGAAAACTAAAAGACAATGTATATGAAAATTTGTCAATACTGAAAGTAAAAGTTTCTGTCAAGATTTGATCTAAACTTTTATATCTGGATTCCGTTAAGATTTATAGCTACATCAGATGTTCATATATTGCTTGACTTTTATATATGATAGAAGTCTTGAAGTGTACAGAAATATTTTCCAAACAAATTATATTTTCGAATATAAAATTATTTCGTGGATAATGCAACATTACAAGTATTTCTTTGGTACATGTCCAAAGACATTTTCATGTCACAAAAGATTTTTACATCGCATTTTATTAAGACTTTGATATTTCTCATACGAAGCTATAAAAGTAACGATTTAGGGTCGATGTGTCGAAAGTCTATGAGTTCTTCGATTTTTGCAAATAAAAGTAATCCAAAATTTACTTCATATCTTGCTAGTTGGTTGTTGAAAATCATTTTCGTGGTCAATACTTTCATTTATAAATGTTTCAACATTGTTAAGGAGGAGAAATGTGGCTAGTATATTGTCATTCGTTCTAGAAAAGCTAAATTTATTCATGACAAATGTTGAAATACGCATGAACATAATATATCTTGTCAATAGCCTACATCAAACACAATGTATCGTTTTCGTTATGTGTTTAGCAAATCAGACAATTATTTTCGTTTCTTTTTCATTCAGTTTTACTGCTCAATCAAATTGTTTCAATGTGCAATGATTTTGGAGTTGAAATAATGGAATTCCCATGTGTCCTTTAACCGCATTACACCAATACAAAGTGCGTTAAGTAAAAGCTCTCTCGCAAACTTAAGATTTTCTTCAAGATAATCAATCTGTCTTATTGACTTCCATAGTTTAAACAGAAAAAATTTTCATTGTTTATGTGAACTGTATTTTATGTTTGCTTGATTGCTATTCATTCATTATTTTTCTTTTTCGGATTTCTGTTTTTTTTTTTTAATTTAACATTATGATTATTCTAATTATTGATTTAAGTAGAAACTAAGCCTGTTGTACATATTATATCTAAAGTTGGTCGTAATGCACTAGTATGTATTCCAATGAGCTCAACAACGTTGATATTGATTATTTACTAAACTTATAATCTGATCAGTTCTTTCTTCTTTTACGTTGACCATATGAAAATTGCAGTAAATCAATATATCATCCTTAACTCTAATATTTTGTTTACATAATAGGATCATTTGTATAATTATTTGATGATACCCAATAATATAAACGTAATGTTAATGACTATTTTATGTATTATACTTATTTCATTAATTTCTGAAAGAAAAATTAACGACCAATATTTTTTTGTATATATTATTGGTTTTTTATGAAATTAAATGTTGCTATTCAAGATATAAAACATATTGAAAAACTGCACTAGGAATATAACTTAGCTTTATTTTTAATCAATCATAATACATCTATTTCAAGAAGAATAATTACAATTAGTTTATACATATATTTTAAATGAAGATCTATTAAATAATTAAGTATACATTAATTTTTTGTTTGAATAAATTATTTTATACTAATAGAGGATCGTTTTCATTTATTGTTGATGTTAATTCATCATCATCATCATCATTATCAAATGCTTGTTGTCTTATCAATTTTATTTTTTTATTCTTACGATTTACTAATGTTCGAAGATATTTAGCTTCAGCTGAACCAGTTTGGTCTACTAATGAAACAAAATATGAATTTGGATTTGATAGTAAAGCCGATGGTGTATCAAATTCAACTAATTCTCCATTATTTAATACCTTCAATAATAAAATAAAAATATAATTTCAAACAAAAAAAAAAAAAAAAAGAAAAGTAAAACATGAATTTTTAATTTACCATAATTCGATCATTATCAATTACAGTCCTTAAACGATGAGCTATTGTTAATACTGTACATCCTTTGAATTTATTTCGAATAACTTGTTGTATTAATACATCAGTACTAAATCATATTAAAAATTGATTTATAAATAATATTGAACGTTTCTTTTTTTGTTTTTGTTTACTTACGCATTATCAACATTTGCTGTTGCTTCATCAATAACAAGAATTTTACTTTTTTTTAATATTGCTCTTGCTAAACATACTAATTGTTTTTGACCAATACTTAAATTCGAACCATTTTCACTAATTAATGAATCAAGTCCATCTAACATTAAATCATTAACTAAAGTTTTTAATTGTACCTAAATTAAATTTCATTTTCGAATTAAATATTCAATTAAAAAAATTTTCAACAAACTTCTTCTAATGCATTCCATATTTGATCATCAGAAATATTATTAAATTGATCAAGATTATATCTAATTGTACCTGTAAAAAGAATTGGATCTTGTGGAATAATTGATATACGACTTCGAAGATCATCTAATTCAATTGTTGTTATATCAATATGATCAATTTCAATTTGACCATTAACAAGTATTCCCATACGAAAAAGTGTTTGAATAAATGAACTTTTTCCTGCACCAGTTCTTCCAACAATACCTATTTTTTCACCACCTTCAATTGTTAATGTTATATTACGTAAAGCAAGTGGTGAATATTCATCTCTTAAATATTTCATAGAAACATTTTTAAATACAATTTGACCTTCTAATGGCCAATTATTTGGTGGTCGATGTTTATTTAAAATTTGAACTGACGGTTCTTGTTCAAGTGAACAATATTCTAATATTCGTTCAACAGCTGTCATTTCAGTTTCAACTCTTACTGATTGTCTAAATATTGAAAAACATTAAAATATAATGAAATAGAATTCAAATTTATATTTATTTATCAAACCTAATTGTCCATTGAAGAAGTCCTAGTAAACTAAGACTATAAAAAAATGTAAGTGCAATATCAGCTGTTGAAAAATCTTGTTGATAAAGACGTACAAGTATAGCAAATGATGTAACAAGACTAAGAAACGTTAATGTTATCCATTCAAAACGTATAGCTGCCCATCTTTCAGTTGTTACAATCAAAAAATTAGCTCGATTATTATCATCAACATAAGAAAGAAATTCTTTCGAACACATTTTTTCAGCATAATAAGATCGAATGACTTTTAATCCATGAATAGTTGATGATAAACATGAATAAATAGGACTTCGTGTTATACCTTCAATTCGTTTTAAATCACGAAAACATCGAGCAAAACGATAACGTACTATTAACATTCCAATTATTCCTATCGAACTGTTCATAAAGGAGATCCGATCAGAAATCGTGTTTTTCTATTGACCTTCTCTCACACACCATGGATTATTCGATGCTCCTCGTCCTCTTAAATGTTCGATTAAAAAGAAAAACGAAAAATTGTCCCGTATATCAGTGTTTTATCTAGGTGTCGTTTCCCGAGTGGGTGAATCGAAATTTCGAATAGGCGTCGCCCATCCAGCCCACCCACCAGATAAATCACTGCCGTATATGTTTTACATAGAAATGATCAGGAGTAGTTGTGTCTATGGTTTCGCCAGAATCGAGATCATCTTGTTCATGTTTAGTTCTACACCTTCATCTCCTTGTCACTCTTTTTTCATACATCATTTGTGATTGATCCCTATTATAGCTGAAATAAATGACCAAGGATTAATTAATCCAATTAAGACAATTACTCCTAGAACGATAGCCACATACTAAACAAATCATCATACTAATGAAAATTCTAAGAAAATATTAACTTACTTCTAAAACATTTGGAAAACTGAATAATAGATTATTATCTATTACAGCAATATCTCGAGTAAAACGATTTATAATTCGACCTAATTCAGAGAAAATGACAAATCTATTTGTATAAAGTTTCATTAACGAACTAAAACATACCAACTGGATTCATATCAAAAAATGAAATCGGACAACGAATGACTCGTTGAAACATTCTATAATTTATATAAACAATATTTTAATAGAAAAAAAAAGAAACTTGAAAAAAAAATTTACTTATTATGAAGTACTCGTCCAGCATTTAAACACATTAATTTCGATGTAAATGCACGTAAAAATGTTAATAATAATAATAATAGTATACTACCTAATTATTATTCATCTTCATTTATGCTAATTTTTTTTTTTATAATTAAACTTACCACAATAGATATAAAATTTTCGATTACGATATATATTCCATTCATTTTCAGTCATCGAATGTATATTATTTACTTTTTTAGCACTAATTGATGTACAATTATCAAAAGTTTTATATCGATGAGTTTCAGCATCAGTCCATACTGCTAACCACCAACTACTACATAAGAATATAGCTTGATTTGCAATTAAAATAAGTAAAATAAAGAAAAAACCAAAAATACAGCCAACACCAGCTCTTATATATGATCGATAAACATTCCATCTGATAGATCCTTCTTGTTTTGTATCAGTATTTGTCATTAAATCTTCTTCATTGTCTTCTTCTAAGCATACTGTACTAATGATTGATTGTTGTTGTTCAATATCACTTGAAAATTCATGTTTTTGCTGATGAATATCTTCCAATAAATGAGCGAATAAAGTTGAAGAAGTTATTAATTCATTATATGTACCCATTTGAACCATTTCACCCTTGAAAATATACAAAAATTAATAATTTACTTCATTAATAAAATAAAATTATTTACATTATTAAGAACAATTATTTTTGTTGCATCTTGTAAAAATTGTATTTGATGAGTGACTAAGATACAAATTTTATCATGAAGATAACTTTTAATTGCTCTAGTACAAAAAACTATATTAAATTATTTTCTTTTTTTTGTTGTTTTTACTTTTCAAAAAGATGTTTGGAAACTTTAACATCAACAGCAGAAAGAGGATCATCTAATAGATAAATATCAGCATTACGATACAAAGCTCGTGCCATATTCACTCGTGCTTTTTGACCCTAAATAATACAAATCATTTATTTATTTTGAATAATCTCATCCATAGTTCTTACTCCAGATAACATCACACCGTGATCACCCACAAGAGTATTGGCACCATTAGATAACTGTTCAAAATCCTATACATAAATTGTCATAACATATGTCAGAATACAATCTGTGACTAATTGAAGAATAACTTCGAGTCTAGGTTTTTTACTCGAAAAATTTAGATTTTTTTTTCGATCAATACTTAGTTTAAAGTGTCCTCTAGTTGATGAATTTATTTGAGGAAATGAAATTTAGTTTTTCAATTTTTAGTCATAAGATTCCTCTTCTTTTCGAGAAAAGATGAGCTGATAATTATAAGTTTAACAGGAAATTTTGTTACACACACTGACAATTAAAGATCAAGTGAAATTTTGAAATAAATATTTGATTGATAAATTTTCATTGCTAAGATATACATAATTGATAGTAGTTTTTCACAACATAGGAGATGAATAAATGAGATCTATATTTAAAAAACAATTTTCTAGGATATTTTGAGAATCAAATTTTGACAGAATGAATCGGTAATTATGTAAGATAACTATTATTACGTAGTTATGAATCGTTAAACTAAAACTTCTAGCATTAATTGTAAATAGAAATATGATAGTTCGAAATTAATTCTAAAAACGTAGACTAGTACATCAGCTTAATCGCACTAAATGAAAAGAGAACTTTTCTAATAGCCTATTTAACTATAAATGAAAAGTTTTGCTGCTCAACTTATTAAAGAACAGCTGACATTCAAATTATGAGATCAGAATTTCAGCTTGGTTAGAAATTTCTTTCATTAATTCTCATAAACAAAGCCTTATTTATATGAATATTTGATACACTTCATAGTGCTTAGCGATATAAATGTTGATTGAAACTTAGCGTCCTCCCAGAATAACATAATACTTCGCAGTATTCATTTTCATTAAAAATACTTATCAATAACACGCATTTAGATCAAACTTAAGCTCTATTCAACAAGATAGTATCGAAAAATTTATGAAGAAACATTGATTAGATAAAATTGACTCAGATAGACATCACTTGAACACTAGGTTTTATTGATAATATCTGCCGCTAAGCACAATTGAATAGATCAACTTAGGATCTAAAAGTCATGTAACCTGCTGACTGATCATATTTATCTTGATTAATTAATATTACATTAGTTTGTGACATAGTTATACGAAATTCTAAATTAACCTACAGTATCAAGTGCAGTAACATTTACAACAGATTGAAATAAATTTTGATTGTATTCTTTTCCAAAAAGAACATTATTTTTTACTGTTGATGAAAATATCCCTAATAAAACAAAGCAAATCTATGAACTGTTCTATTTCAAATTATTTCTATTTCTTACATGCTTCTTGTGGTACATAACAATATGATCCATGTAATCGAATTTTTCCATCAAAATAAGCTATTTCACCAGTTAATGTTTGTAAAAGTGAACTCTGAAATAATTCTATTCAAATGATATATTCATAATAATTAAATAAAAGAACAAACTTTGCCTGATCCAACAGGTCCAATAATACATATTAAATCACTTGGATGAGCATCAAAAATAATATTTTTTAATGCAAATAATCCATTCTATAATAAGATACATTAAAATATATTTCTTTATAAATAATTACTTTTTCCCATTGAGCTTGTTTCAAATTACATATCACTTGTATATTTTTTTCAATATTATCATTAACCATTTTCATCTCATTTGATGATAACATTTCCAAATCTTGTGATAATGATGATGATAACAATCGATTATCTCGATCACATTCATCAAGTAATAGAAATGACTATATTAAAGAAATACTTTTTAGATATTAACAAAATATTATTTATACAAACTTCAATTCTTTTTCGTGCAGCTAAATAATTCGAAATAAATTGAGTACCAAGAGAAAAATATTCAATAACATATAGTCTCATAAAACTCAATATACAAGCAGCAATAGCAAAGAAATTTGTATCAAATCGTATATTATATAACCACATTGTTCCAAACATAAGCAGTAAAGATATAGGAATAAAATTATTTGAAAATACCATTTGAATACATTCATATAGAGCATATAAAGTATATTGAAGTATTTCATGTCTAAATATATTCAAATTTTAAAATTGTCTCATAAATTAAAAAAAAAAATCAAATATTTAAATTGAACTTACTTTCTAATAAGATAAATTCTTTTACTAAATGCTGTTTCCCAACAATACATTTTTACAATACGCATTGATTTAATTATTTCAGATATTATTTTTATACGTTCATCAGTTATTCGAAGAATTTTTGTACTAAAAAGAAACTATGATCATTAGAAAAAAGAAATCATAAAGACAAAAAAAATAATAAACCGTAATCGAATAAAAATACGACTGTATAATGATTGAATAAGAAGAAAAGAAACAGAAAATCCCATAGCAATAAAAGCAATATATTTAACAAAATGCCAAAATATTATAGTAATGAAAATGGTTAACAATGGAGCAATCTAAAATAAATAGAATTTTAAAAATTTGTCAGACTCTTGAACAATATCATTAAATACTATATTATTGATAATCTCAGAATTGGACATGCACTAAACATAAATTCAAGTTCAATGTTTGGTTTTTCAAATTTTATTTCACCGATTTGCATAGTGTCAAATATGTACACAATGGATCAAATGTTTCTGGAGATATCTGAGCTATAAAAGAGTCATTCGAAAATATGCTCAGATTCCGATTTAGGTATTTTGAAATAGCTATTAATATTTTTCGAAGATGTCTGTAATTTTTCAAACCTATCTTTTGACTTATTTCAACTACCTCATTATTGCTGACCTAGTAAGAGTAACTTCTCACCATTAACTTCAGTTTTCTTTTATTATCAACTAACTAAAACTATTCATAGGAATTGCCTGATCATATTTCTCTCAACAAAGTTATCATGTTAAATGTTCTTATGGACTTTGAAATATTTCTTTTGTATCTGTTTTCATGCAGTTCAATCTAAACAAAAATCGTCGATACTTTTGAATACTGCAGTATATCGATGACAGTGCGAACAAACGTGCAACATAGATTAGTTTTAACAGTATTAAAAGATACAGTTAGAGTCTAGTCCTTATCAAGTGAAAGCTGTTTCTATTGTGAAGTTAAGTTTTTATTTGTTTGTCGAATATTTCATTTCAATATTTCAACAAAGAACTTTGGAAAAAAAAACAAACTTACCCACAAATAATTGACAAAGAAAAGCACTAATTGAACTTTGTTAGTATCATCAGATAATAAATTAGTAATTTCTCCAGAAGTGATAGTGTTCATTGAATGACTCGACAAACGTAGTACCTTGAAAATAAAGTTTTTCAATTTCATTTCATCAATTATTTGTCATTTACTTTACGATAAACTAAACCTGCATAAGCCGCAGAAATTTGTAGAGCATACATATCACTTTGATAAAAATACTATGAAAGTAAAATTGCATAAAAATATGCTTAATTAATATTAATATACCCGATGAATAATAAGACTTGCAAATAATGGAATTACAATTGTGGCTATAGCCAAAAGCCAAGCATGCCAAGCAGGCATTGAAGAACATGGTTCAAAAAAACGCATGAGAAATGTAAGTAATAATGATAGAGTAATTTGAGCCATTCCCTCAAGAAATAATTATCAAATGACTTCAGTAATGTAATTAATATCGGCGCCAGAAGTCAGGGCAGTCGGATGTCTTTTGAATAACTTTCGATAGGAACAAGTTAGAGACCTGCGGTTTTCAGCAATCG